AATTTAGCCTCTACCACCCTGTGATTATCCCCCCCCACCCACACACACACACACTTCTGTGATCCACTGCCTCTTCTGACAAGTGGATTGGACCAACGGACCTAGCTCAGTCAGTAAGCCCATGAACTGTTGATATACCGATCCCGATTCAAATCCATATACCGATCCAGGATCAAATCCATATACCGATCCAGGTTCAAATCCAGATGGAATCAGATGAAGAGAACACCCCCCCATGGAAATTGCCGACCGCCATATCTAGCATCTCTCGCTTCTTCGCGCATACTAACCGCAACAGGACTTTTTTTTTTTTTTTTTTTTTTTGAAAAACAGCAGTTGGTTCTGATAGAGATGGTGATATGAGCTCCCGCCGCTAGCAGGTTTTTTTTTTTCTCTGTTTGAAAAACAGTAGATGGTTCTGATAGCGGCGATGGTGATATGAGCTCCCGCCGCTATCAGTTTTTTTTTTTTTTTTTTTTTTCTGTTTGGTGATATGAGCTCCACCCGCTATCAGTCCCTCCACCAGGACTTATTCCTGCATTTGGCGGCAATTGCAAATTCATACATCCTGGATAGTCGGGATATGGTGGGATATAAGTTTTCTAAAAAAAACAAAAAAGAAAAACAAGGAAAGTCGGGCTGTAAGTATCATTAAAAAAAAAAAAAAAAAAACAGTATGTCCTTACTTTTTCCGGCTGTTGCGATCGCCTCCCCCGATTTTCCGTTAAACTATCCAAATTCCAGCCATGCCACTGCCGCTCTCTTCCTCTCCCTTTTTTTTGGCACCCACTCCCCCCTCTCCCTCTTTCGCTCTCTTCTCTCTCCTTCTTTTGCCTTACTTGCCGATCACCCTCAACAAACGTCACCGTCTCATAATGGGGCTCGAGCCACCGTTTACCAACTTCGTAAAATGTCGAATGTATGTTGCGCAAGAACGGATACAGGTGCACCCGCCGTACAATTTTCATGTTTTCACATTCGGTGAGGGGTGCAGCGAGGCCCAGTAACAACCTACCCCTCGTTTGTTTCCCGCAGATTACCCGCTCGTCTTCATCGCCCAGATCGACGGACTACATGGGTCGTGATGGGCCCTCGGTTCAGACGCCGGTACCCTACGGATGGCCCTCAATCACGCCCAGATAGGCCCTCGCTCCGCAACTCACCAAACGTGCAAAATGACAATGAATCATCCGCTAGAACATGGAAATATACACCGCCATAATTTTTTGTCTTTTGTGCATTTGGTGAGTGGTGGAGCGAGGCCCATACTTGGGGCTTCAAGGAACTACTCCCCAAATGTGTAAAATGGGAGACGTATCTCCCGGAAAACGTGGAAAGATAGGCCCGCGACAGTTTTTGTATTTTTTTCACTTTTTTCTTTTGTGAACTTTTTGTGAAGACTCTGCTCATTCTATTCTATGGCCACACAAAGAGGGGCTGATCCAGCGGCCTACTAGTAGTAGCTCAGATGGTAAGGCACGCTAGGAGCATTCAGGAGATAGGCCACACAAAGGTCGTGGGTTCAATCACCGCCGGCGTCATGTACCTTCCTGGGCAAGCTTGGTGCCCGCCACCTAGAGATACGCCACTGGATCGCCAGGTCGGCATTGAGCAGAGTCTGCTGATGTTCGTAGGGGAGGGGACCACCTTCTGAGGGGAGGGGACCACCTCAGGGGAGGCACAGGGATTTATGGTCCCGGGTGCTACCAGTCGTCCCCTGGCTGTCCCCTGGCTGGTATCGCCCACCTGCAGGTTGGGAGCAGCCCCCGCATCGTGAACACGGTTCTGGCTTCTACGGGTTCCCTATGACTATAATTAGGAGTAGTGGTAGGTAGGTAGGTAGGTAGGTAGTGTGATGTGAAATTGAGAGATGTGCCCACTGGTTAGGGCACCGGTTGGAAATGCGGATTGTGGTTTGAGGTTGCAGGTACAATACTCCCCACCCATGCGCATGGACACTGGCAGACGTTTACGTAACGTATACCCATCTGCAAACCCCCTGGGGCTGCCGGAGGCAAACACTGCTTGCGCACCACCCACGGATCCCAGTCCATGGTTGATGTATGTTGGGTGTGGGCTATGAGATATTTGCCTGATGCTCTTGGTTCATGGGGTTGTTTGAGTGCTTTGTACAGCATTGTGCATTTGCCTTCGGGTCCAGCATTGCGCACAAATCCGTTAGTTTCCACAGTAGCTCTCAGTAGGTTCGATGGTAGATTTGCATGGTTGAGGTTGTGTGTTCAAATCCATTCACGTAGTGGGATGCAGGCTGAGAGACTTACACCCCACCTATAGAATCAGGAACAGTCGATGAGAGGAGACTTAGAACAGTCTGTGGTCGGGGTTGGTAGGGCTTTTGGGGCTGAGAGTAGAGATTAGGTAGGCACGTTGCTAGTTGGAAATCTGGGGGGGTCAGCCACTAGGCACGGGAGGGGGTTAGATGAGGGCTCCTCCTTAGGACAGCTCGCCAATGGAATGGAACCATTGATGAGACTGAGACTTAGTACGCGCTATGATCAATGTTAGTCTGAAAACACTAAGACCCTACAGACCGCCCATAGAATATAGGAACAATTGATGAGAGGAGACATAGTGCACAGGGGGATCAATTAGGGTTGCCTGCTTCCCATGTCCTCGCAGAAAAATTCAAGAAACAAGAAACAGCTCACCATCAACAACAAGTGGTAACAACAACAATGTACAAAGTGAACAACCTAACAATAAACAACAGTAACAAAAGCTGTGTACACAACAGTAGGAACGCAAATAGGCCCACCTATGACACTTCTTGTGAAACGTCTATACTTAGCGCCTGAAGTACCCGGGCGACAAGGCTCGTTCGACTATGCTTCGATCAGGGCTGAGTGGGGTGGTGGGGCTCAGCTTAGCCCTGGTACCTGCAACCGCTGTCCGGTCAAGGTCACCCCCAGACTGGAGGTGGCACTGAGGTAGGATAGTGGGAGTAGGGGTGCGCCAGGGAGAAGTACGACAGCGGTAGGTGGGGAGGGAGACCCATAGGAATAGGAACCCTCAGCCACATGGCCGATTGCCGAAGGTGACTCTCATACATCTGGAATCCAGCCTCTAAATAACTTCCTTGGCTCCCTTTTTATTTTATACATCTCACGATCCCACTCATTGCTAAGGCTATTATTATCAATTATCGTGGCCTATAATTTTGAAGTCCAACCTTTCTCAAACTTGCTCAAGCAAGTCTGCCTTTGACAAAAGTCTTGGGCGCCTCGTGCATCTAAGGTATTGATGGCATACGGATTTTTGCAATTTCATTGCGGTTTCCTGATAGAAAATTCGTGGATCAAAGAAAGTTTTTCCCTATGATGTTTTGCCTTTCATTGCATCCTTTCTTTCCCAATGTCAAGGCACACACCCAATGCATTTTTTTGGATATAGCAAGGTTCTTCGCTACTTCTTACTTGTTTTTTTTTAATATCATATCAGGCTGCTAGAGGACCAAGAATTTCCACCCGCCAGTCAGGGCGTGCCATATGTCGGACACTTTATCTTATTTATATCTAGTTTATCATAAATACGACATTTCGCTATGATCTTAATTGTTGCAAGGACCAAGATATTCCTTCATTTGGCTGGTGTAAGGCAATGACTTTGGACCAATTCAGTGTATGAAAGCAAAAAAATTGTAGGTTGTGAGTGCACATAGTGGGTGGAAATTATGGATCGTTCTCAACATGACAAAAACCTTTAGAATACTTCTGACGAGTGTGTCAAATGAGAAATGAGATACACTTTATCTTATTTATAACTAGTTTATCACTTATATCTAGTTTATCATAAGTACGACATTTCACTATAATCTTAATTGTTGCAAGGACCAAGATATTCCTTCATTGGACTGGTGTAAGGCAACGACTTTGGACCAATCCAGTGTGTGACAGAAAAAAGTTTGTAGGTCGTGTGTAATTAAACATAGTGAAGGGAAATTATGGATCGTTCTCAACATGACAAAGATCTTTAGAGTACTTTCTGACGAGTGTGTCAAATGAGAAATGAGACGTCAAAAAAAAAAAACAGTCAAACCACCACTACCTCCAAGTGGTAGTTCCATTTAAGAAAATGACCTCATCCAAAATCTCGGGGGTCCAGCCCAGGGGCAGAGGCCGAGTACACGAAAATGAAAAGAAAAAAAAAAGGATTTCGGTCTTATTTCCCCCCCCCCTGTTTTCTTGTTTGTCTTGGTGCCCCGCCAGAGACGCAAGGCGTAATCCGCATCCATCTGAAACGCCCTCACTGAAGGAACACTCATTCTACATCCCTCCCAATGTATTCGGCCGCTTTCACAGCCAAAGCGGTGTTTTTTTTTTTCTTTTTTTTCCTCTCTTGTGGATCTTACAACGACTCTTGAACGACCCGCGCTAAGGGCATACTCACACTACTACCTCAGAGAATGCATCTGCATACTGTCACGAGCAAAGTTTTTTTTTTCCCCTTCTTTGTTGGTGAACCTTACTGTTGCGTTGATATCTTTTTTGTATGGTACAAAAAAATAAAAATAAAAAAGGTCCCACGAAAATGTCAGGCTCAACATAACTTGGCGCCCATGTAAATCAGGATCGGTAAAAAGAGGCTCGGAGGTATGGTGGTTTAAGAAAAGAAAAAAAAAAACTTTCATTGGTAAAGATACGCATGGTCATCTTTTGATTTTTCTCATCCTTACCATTGTATTGTTTTTTCCTCATGTGTGTATGTATGTGTGTGTGTGTGTCTGCGCGCGTGTGTGTATGTGTGCGTGTGTGTGTGTGTGTGTGTGTGTGTGTGTGTGTGAGAGAGAGAGAGGGAGAAGGTAAAAGTGTTGTAAGAAAGAAAAAAAAAAAAACTTTCATTGGTGTTGTCATTTTTTTACTTTTCTCATCCTCACCATTTTATTGTTTTTTTCTCGTGTATGTACGTGTGTGAGTGTGTGTGTGTGAGAGAGAGAGAGAGAGAAAGAAGTCAATCATATCCATTAAGATCCGACTTGTCTACCCGCTTGGTTGTAAACATGCAATATCTTTCAGTTGTCCATGTGGCATACGTTTTTGTTGTTGATATGCCGCACTGTTGGCACTGAGAGGCTGTGGTATTGAAACCAGTAAAGTGTGTGCGATTTTTTTTAATTTTTTTTAGTATAATCAGACATGGCGAATGAGAATTATAAACGATTTTTTCCTACAATGCCCCTGATATAATGTCGAGTCTTTTTGTCTTCCATGTTGGTTCGTTCTCGACATTATCTAAGACTACAGACTCGACTTGTGGGAATCTCTATCCTAAATAATATGAAGATTGCATGAACATTGATTAAGAGATTGTGAACTTAGATAATCAACAGAAAAAATTCCACGAGAAATGAAAGTTAAAAAAATATTTCATAAAAAAAAAAAATCCTTCGTATTTATAAATTATCATTCCAATATTCGTCCAATTGTAAAATTTGCAGTTTTATTTGATAAGTTCCCATCTAAGTATGAGATTTCCCTTTCAACTACATCTTTTGCTCAAGATGGAATGAAAGTCTGAACGAGTTTATGAAATATTTTATTTAAATTATTCTACTACAACAAATATATTTTAATTTATATTGGATTGACCTATTTATAACTGAAAATCCTTACTTAGAATGACAGTTCAATTAAAATATTTCATGAACTCATTCAGACTTTCATTCCATCTCTAGCACGCAACCCAAATAAGAAGGGATACCCTATTCTTGGAATAAAAGTTTGCAAGTAAGATGAAAAATTTTAAAATTGAAACGATATTTTTAAAGATGGAATGAAAATTTAAAATTTAGATTGTAATTTTACTATAGAATGATTGTTTAATTATAAAATTATTAACTTATCATAATATATATATATATATAAAAATATATCCTCTTTATATTGCTTTTATCCCACTTTCGACAATCCATGTATCTAATAGGGCGACAAATAGAATATTTGAGCGATGTTTCCTAAAAATATAAAACCTCTTAAAAAACAATAGTTGGTAAAAAAATTGTATACCACAAATTAAAAAAAAAAAAGAAGTTATAAAGACAAAATTGTTCTCATAGTAGTCGTTGTATACACATTATTCATCCGCATATTGGTGATACATTTTTTTACTAATGCTTTTAAATTTATACAATTATTCAATTGCATTTTTTTCCCACATTTACGTATGATTAACAAATATATATCAATATCATGCATTCTCATTTCATGTCAAGCATTTAGTTTGCTGAGTGATAACATGTAATTTAATGATATTCTTGTTGAAATTCAATTACAATTGCTTTGTTCACATCATCCTAAGCATTTAGTTTGCTGAGTGATAACATGTAATTTAATGATATTCTTGTTGAAATTCAATTACAATTGCTTCGTTCACATCATCCTATATTTCAAATGTCCGAATGAAAATGCACATTTCAATGCACAATGTAAACAAATAAGTAATGGTTTATCTATATGATTCATATCTCGTTAAGTTTCATATGAAGTCATACAAATTTTTGATTTCATTAATAATGCATAACTTATAACCAGAATAAAAAACTTATGAATATAAACACGTTTCCAACACAAATGGTTGTCACAATATAAAACACGTTGATGTGATACATTATAATACTTATGCATTTTTTGCTTTTATTTTATTTTTGATATTTGATTGTTTAACTGATACTGGTAGGGCGATGCAATATTCATAAGACAGTCTTGTCGTACCCCAAATTTATTTTAGTCGAGGATACTAATGGTTTAAAACACCACTTACATTAACTGCAATATCTATACTTTAAATCCGAAAGTGGACTGCCTTTGCTGACCTTCTTGAAATAACGGTTCTTATTGCTAGGGACGAGGCTCCAATGACACAGAGCTATTATCTTGAACTCTTCACCAAACTCTTTGAAATCTATATTATGCAAATCTTTTTTTTTGAATAAAGTTATATTCTTGTTATTAATTTTTCATAAATTTTGTCGGATATCACCTGGTTCTACTTCAATATCAACTAATTTAAAATTTCAATGTTGAAATGTGGTCCTACCCTAAATGATAATTTTCATTTGGAAAAAAACCATCCCCCTCCATGAAAAATACATTGACAAGATTGCTTTATGATCAAAGATATGTTTTTACAAAAGATACTTGCAAACATTTTTCCTAAACATGATCTAACCTTAAAGAAAATTTTCAAAATCCATCGTGTTTTATGATTTATAGACCGATTTTTTTCATGCCCCAAAACAAACTAGTAATAACAATCAACATTATCATTAATTTATTCCTATATCAAAAAATTAACACAAAGTTCTTATGACACATTGTTGAAAAACAATACTTATACTGATATTTGCTTTGAAACATTGAACTCTTGGATTAAAAAATTAACACAAGTTATTCTGACACATTTTTAGAAAACACTATTTATACGAGCGTCGAAACTCTCCGAACGCGAACATAAAAATATTTATAAAAAAAAAATCCAAAAATTTTGAAAAAAATATATGTTATGTAAAATAATAATACAAACAGCTTTTGCCTAGGAGGTATGGTCAAATTCGTAACCAAACTCGAGTTAAAAATCAAAAACCAAAATTTTTTTATTTTTTTATTTTTTTTGAATATGTTCGGCCGAACACGTTCGGGTGGCGTTCGGCCGAACACCCGAACATGTTCAGACGTTCGAAAAAGCTCCGAACATGTTCGGTGTGCTACACAGTTTGAAACATTGAATATTATTTTTTATCCTTCTCATGACCTTAAAATGAAGTATTCCATGTCTCGTAGTTTGCTTCACAATATTGCAACACGAATCAAATTATGAGAGACACATTTCTTCATCTAAATTTTATCGCTAACAACAAACATGTGCACATTTATGTCCTTCCAACTCTACAAGCTGCGCTTTTCTCATATATCTCCCTCACAACTACAGAGAACGTGTTTTTTTTTTCCATCGCAATATTAATAACTTCCTCAAAGACCTACTTTTGCAAGTAGGGAATATGCATATACTCACTTAAACTATTTTTCACCACCAATATTACATTTATCCTCCGAAAACCGATCGTCCAAAACGCATGTTTCACCATAACTGAAGCCACTTGATAAAATAGAAACATTGTGTTGGAAAACATCCTCACATAACCTCTTTAATACTAGGAATGAGCCTACCCTTTTTTTTTTTAATCTTATAACTACTCACAATTAAAATTTCCAATTCTCAAATAATATGCTTATCATTGTCCGTTCATATATTGAATACCCGTTTCTTTCCTATTTTGAAAAATTGACATCTCTATAGCTTGTTATGACTATGCTCCCACAAGCTGTGAACATAATGTTGAAGACGATTGTCATATGCAACAACCGACAAAAAAATAAAACTCCAACCTCCACCGTTGACATTGTCAACTCAGCCGCACACTTTACTTACTCTTCTTTACAACATAAAAACCATTCAAATAACACAATCTGAAATTTTGACATTATGTCACAAATATGACCACTATTCCACACTTCACATCATCCTTAGCGTTTGCTTTGCAACAAACCACTACAACTCTTCTTCTCTATTGACAAAACTGACACTGCTTGAGGTTGCTACTTCTTATACTGTTTTCCTTGTAGCAGTTGACCTTACCGAAGTTATATCATCATTATTATCAACATCACAATTCTTCCTTTTCTTACTCCTTCACCCGGGGATGCAAACGTTTGGATTTTGTGAAAAGTTTTGAACGCACCGAATGTGGATGACGCGATTAAATAAATTTTATGAGAAGATTTTTTATTATCGATTGTGCAATCTGTCCAACACAATCTTTCATTTTTGCACATGCGCAAAAAACGCCAGTAAATCACCTCAAACGAATCATCCTCACATGACATTTATTCGTACGAGAGACTTTTTCCATTTTCTCATATAAAATAACCTGTGACAACTGAACGTCTTCGGGTTTTGCAAAATCCCAAATCCGAAAACAATCATATTATAGATTCTGCAAATCGTCCCACTTTTCAAAATTTCTTACTCGCCCCCCGAAAACATTTTGGTATGGCTCGCACGATCGTTCAAATCCATAACACCCTTTCCAATTGCTGCACATATGCTAAACACACAATCCCATGCACGACAAACACCTAGCAATACATTTTAATGCACTCATGCACATCTTTTATGATGCCAACAATAAATGAGCATTCATCATTGTTTTCTCACGCCCCTTTGGAGAAAACAACATGCAGGGTGGGGAGAGAACAACACCAGAAATGAAGCACCAGTTCTGCATGACAACCAAAAAAAAAGGACCAAACAACAACATAGAAGCAGACTCAGTGTCAATCTTCATTGAGCAGGCACACACCGCCCATCTTCACTAGGAAGGCACACACCACCATCTTCCCTTTACAATGTTTTTCCTTTTTTTCAGTCATATGTTAAAAATCAGCCTGCACTTCATGCAAATGCACCACGAGGCTCATTGTTCCCTGTACAGCTTGCGAGAAAATGCCCGACGAAAATTTAAAGAAGCGTGCCACCAACCGTCATGGCCATGCCCTCGACGTCTGATTGTCTGATTACACAACTCCTATCCAGCCACATTGGTGTTTTTAGGCATGCTTTCGGATACCTAAGTTTGACGCTTTGAGCGTGGGCCAGTGTATTCGTCTGGTTTTGGCTCCTTTGCAGACCCCAATTGTAGCCTTTGGTGGACCGGTCTAACGTGATAGAGGCGTTTTTGTTTGGTTGACGATTTATTAGGCTTGCCCAGGTACGCGGTTGTTTTCGGGCAGCGCAGAACTTGCCATCGTAATTACAAGTTGGTTCACACACTGTTGTTTTCGGGCCCTTTCTGGACATACGTTCAATGTCGTTCATCTCCGGCACCCTGGATGCTGGTTGTATGGGTGGTGGGTTAGCGGTAAGAGATGGTGTTTGGTTTAGGGACTACCCCCCCTAAGGAAGTTGGCTTGGCAGCGATTGAAACTGGTTGGGCAGTCCAGTTTGCCCGATCGTTACAGTTCATTTTGATTACATCATTTGTGATAATTTGCTTCACTGCATCGTCCATATGCGCGAACCGTCATTCATTCATGATCCCACGACTCACCAAAGGTGAAAACGTATGAGTGTACGAGTGTATAGGTTCCAGTTTTAATGGAAAGGTGCACTCGCTAATTCATAAGGCCCCCATTACGCACCCTTCCTCTTCGTCAATTCACCCCCTGCGCACCCTCACTCCTCCAGTCCTACCTTAATGTCTACCACTTAGGACCATCACCCTTCTACTGTCTTGACGGAGTGTTCTGTCTTTGTCATCACCCCGGGGAAGCACCACCCCCAGTCATCAGCAGATCCACGGCGACCGTCTGCTCCCATACCTCTGTCATCAACTGGGCCTACTCTGGTCTAGTTGTCAACATGGGAAGCAGACAAATGTCCACCACAAATCCCCCCATCAGCATCCCACCTGCGGCCCTACCCCCCCAGAGCAAGGCCCTAGGGTAACCATCTACTACTGTGATCATCCACTCCACTAGGGGTCCCTGCACCCCAGTTATATCCTTACTATGTGATGCGAAGGACTGATCAGAATCAAACCCTGGAACTATCTCCTGTAACACCCGTGCTCAACCAACTGAGCAACTGCATCATCTGATCTGTCTGTGTGCTGTCCTAGGCTGGGGGACAAGTACGTGGGTTGCCAACTAGCACCAACCGATTGTGCGTGGGGGAGGTCCATCCCCAGTTTTCATGCTTGGTGGGTACTGGAGCGAGGGCCTCAGTGTGGGTTGTTGCACTGTTGCTTCCCTGGCTGAGCGCATACCCACTCGTCCTGTATTGTGCCGCTTTGACTTGTTGCGTGCTTGCCTTGTGGCCTGCCTGTCTGCTTGCATTATACCATCTTTGCCGACCTGCCTTCTTGTCTTGCTGCTTGTTCTCTTGCTGCACACTTGCCTGCTTGTCTTGCGAGAGGGAAAAGAGAAAGAAAGAAAAAGAAAAACGACATAAAGCAACTTGACATCACATTGCGTTTTCTTCCCTCCTTGTCGGCTCTCTCGGATGGCTCTGCAGTGGTATGGTGGTTAACAAGGGGCACAGCCGCCAAAGGATACTTCTGCCCATCCGGCAGCTACATAGTGGCTCAAGAGGCTGTGGCTAGGGAGAGGGCCCTTTCAAGGCTGTCGCCAGGGAGAGGGCCCTTTCAAGGCTGTCGCCAGGGAGAGGGCCCTTTCAAGGCTGTCGCCAGGGAGACGGCCTTTTCAAGATCTGCAAGACCAACAAGTCTAGGACAAGATTAGGTTATGTCTGATTTTTGGGACTCTGTTGGTTGTTCAATTCTGTTTCTTCCTAGCCGAAACCGGGTAATGGCCTTGGGAAGAACTACATTGCTGATTTCAGGGACGCTGGACCCGGTTTCCAGCAGGTGTCGCTCCCCACCAATAGACCGGAGCACCCAGCAGGTCTGATAGAACGAGGTGCTCACATCACTCCTCCCCTATCAGAACACTGCTGGAGTTTTTTTTTTTTTTTTTTTTTTTTTTTTTTTCAGGACATCACCTTGAGATACTTAGCACCAAGGAGCGGAGGGAAAACTTCCATGAACTGGTTCAGTTGAGGGCGCAAGGCCCAACTTTTGGCAGGTCTGGGAGTGAGCCGCCCGAAGAGAGAGACCTGCCATAGAAACAAAATATTTCCGAAATCCACTAAACAAGCAAACGGGGGAAAATGGGGTAGAGATTTTGCCTTATGCCAGACCAGAAATCATTTGTTGGGAAAACTGGGTGGGAGCAAAAAGCTTGAGAATTGAAGTATAGTTGGCTAAGGGCCAGATCCCACTGGCAAACAGGATTGGAATAAGTGTCTGAATCTGGACGTGTTCCACACAGAGATGCCGAAAAGCAGATCAATCACAATCTTTTGCACGTCTCCACAAACACGTCCAGATTCAGACACTTATTCCAATCTTCTTTGCGAGTGGGATCTCGCCCTAAGTCATCCTAGAAAACAAAGAATGGCACACAACTCTTACCACATGGAGAACGAGACAAGAGACAAACTGGAAAAGAAAAAAACGCGGAAGAAAAAGACGGCATTGTCACCAAGTTCCGTTTTTGTCTCTTTTCCGTCAAATTTTCCTCACCTTTTCCTCACTACTGGTAGTCCTCTTCGTGTCCTGCCGCTCCTGATACTCATTGTATGTACAGCCGCAGGCTACCAGCACCCTCACACTATGAGCATGACACTAACTCCCAACGTAACCCCAGTGACCGCAAGACAACAGTCCGACAATGCCAATAAAGATAGCCATCAACGCAACAGTCAATGCTCTGTTGATCCTGGACCTTGAAAAAAACTCCGGATATCCATTCAACTTCCTCATAACGGACTGCCCACAACCAAACCGCAGGTGAGCATGCTGCGGTACAGTCTGATAACCACTGTCAGCATTGCATGCATCTTGTGGGAGGTCCAATTGTCCGATTCCTTTGCCCCTTTGCTTGGCTTCAGTCGACGAATTGGATGCCTGTGGAGCATCTGAGGCGTTCGTGCCATTCGCAGACGGCTCCTGCGAATTCGGAGGAGTTGTGGTTGCCATTATCTTGCCATTTGATGGGATCTCCTCTTGAGATTTATCGCCTCGCGTCGTTTTGCTCCCTGTAAGAAAACTGCTGCAGCAATTCTTTGTACCACCTTGGTCAGAGCAGCACTGGTTGCCGACTGAAGTTGCAACGACTCTTTTTGCTCCAGGCTTTAACTTGGTCGAACCGATTGGAACAGCATAAGACCTTGTTGATGTTATTATTGACCCACGAACTTCACCAACCACCGACCACCGAGTAGTGGATGTGATACATGCATGAACGCTTGAGCCAAGGAGGTCATCAGCCGATGGGACCAGCACTTGAACATAGTTCTTTGTGTGGCCGACCTGCAGGTAAAAGGTCCAATACACACACACACACACACACACACACACACACACATTTCTGGCTAAGCGGGTGTGTAGAGTGGGTTTCATGGCAGGGATGTACAAGTTCCCTGGACTTACTGCCCTTATTAGCGGGGGTTCAAATCCAACAGTCTCAGAGGATTGCAAAATTGGTGTGAGCGAAGTCAACCACTTTTCTCAACGGTATCGCTAACTTTGGGTACGGCGGTGAGGCCTTACCCATGTGTCGAATGGATCCTGGGCAGACTGTTCGGGTTCAATCTCCTGATAAGTCAGTGAAAATCTGATGAAACAGTCTGTCATATTCAATTTGTGTTCAGCGTATACGACACACACACACACACACACACACACACACACACAAGCAGTTCGACAAAACAGTTTTTCACAGACCCTTTTCTTCCCGTGGAGTTTTGTTTAGCACACACATAGACAGACACAGAAACACACACACAGACACACACACACACACACACACACAATGCCGACTTGCGAGCTCTCCGTTCAAGCAGACCAATGCGGTTAGGGTTGGGACCGTACTAGCAGCCATGGCAGTGGATATGCCTGACTGAGTGGGTGTGGCAACTTGTCAAGTGGCTTTGATGGCTGTTACAGGCCAGTTTCGCGGACTGACTGCCGTTCTTGTTAGGGCTTTGTCTGCTAGGGTTGGAGGGCTGGTGTGAGTGAAGTCACCCACTTTGCCCAGGAGTATCGCTCACTCACTTTGGGTGGCACGGCGAGTCCTTATCCATCAGTCAAATGCATCCTGGGCAGACTGTCTGTCCAGGTTCAACCTCCAGATGAGTCGGTGAAAGTCTGACAAAGTGGTCTGGCACGGTCATGCTTTCTCTGTGGACTCATGTATAACAAACGGCACAACATACGTTACACTAAGGTGTACCTACCACACTGAGAGCCAGTCCCTGCTGATGCAATATTGCACTAACTCAGGTTGCAAACAGGCTGTGCTGTCTCAACAAGGCCATAGCACCATTGACGCCTAGCCCTATAATTTCGGGACAGACCCCGCTACACCATGCCTAGGCCTGTGTTTTCCAATCTGATGCCAGGTAGCCAAAGTCGATCTCAAGTCAAATTTTTACAACCAGATGTCAAATATGTCCTGTAAGCTGTATACGGACCACCATGGGGCGCAGCGCGACCGGGAGCGCTGTGCCCCAGGCCCGACCAAAGGGACAGCGTGGGAGAGTCGACGGGCGGCCGGCAGAATCGACACGGGAGACGCTCGAGAAGGGACGCAGAGGGGAGGGGAGAGCTAACATGTCTCGATCGCGTTTGTGCAGAGGACAGTGGTGAGGGAGGCTGCAGGTGAGGTAGTGACGGCCGATGTATGGGAGGGAGCGGGTTGTAGGTGAATGATAAGGTGCTCCACGCTGCCAAGAGGGATGTGCCAGCCTTGATTGAGCCCGTATTGAGGAGAGAAGGAAGACGGCGCGCCGCGCCACCAGTTTTCTGGTGCCTTTACGACCGAGCTATTCCGTGAACTGACAGAAGAAACACCGCGGAGGAAGTTATCAACATCTAAGAGTTGGACGCCGCCAAGACTGGAACCGAGGGATGGCAAAGGCGAATAGAGGGTTCTTTGCGCGGCAGCATGAGGTAGGCATTGTGGCGGTGACTCAGAGCTAGGGTTATGTGTTTGATCTCCTCCCCCTTTCCTCAATAGTGTGGTGAATGGATGTTTAGGATGGCTTGAATCCCCTGTGACGTCTCGCTGACGGGTTTGGCGAGGTGGTGTCGCACTGTTCTCTGATCCTTGGGGAGGTCGAGGATGGCTGTTGATGTCTTCGGTGTTAGCATCGTCTTGAGCCTAGTAGCTAGCAGTGGGAGGAGTGTTTCCCCGAAGATGGTGGGGTAGGGTTCGAGGGGAAGGGTGGTAAGTAGGTGGGGGTTGAGGAAGTGGGGGAGGAGGTTCTTTTGCTATAGTGGGATTTCAAACTCATGGACTTCATTTTTTGAGTTTTTTATTACCTCAAGGCGTACCTTTGCCACTAGCACCTTTTTTAGTACTTCTTGAACTAATTTCTTATTGTTTTCGCGCACTAAGTCTAGGAATACGTTTATTTGCCAATATGATGGCTGGTCATAGTTTAGTGAAGATTTTGAGTGGTTTTGCTTGGACTATGTTGTCTATGGGAGGTATCATGTATTTAGCTCATCTTGCACCTTTTCTCATTGTTTCGCATTAATCTGGGCCTATTGGCGCCAGGAAAAGGATCTCATTCAGGACGACATACTATGGTTCAACAACGGCTTGGCATATCTGGGCCGCAAGTGCAACGAATACTCAAAACTCCTCGCAGCTCGGCGCAACGCAGAAGAAATAAACCTCCAATACAGATTACAACACCTTCAACAGCAAGAAGAAGACATGAGCGATACCATAACACTAACAGAAACAGCCAATGAGATACAAACGCTAGAAGCCCAGATCCTGGAAAAAATGGAGTACCGCTGGCAAGGCATCAGGATCCGGGGAAAACTACACAAACATAACGCAGAAGGAGCAATGGACACAAGATTCTTCGCAATGGCCAGAGCAAAGCTCGACCGAACGACGATCGAAGCCCTCAAGGACCCGAAGGCTCAGGATGGACCGCTACTCACATCAACAGCAGCCTGCACAAAGATAGCAAGAGACTTCTTTCAAAATCTCTTCACATCGGAGTGCGGGCCATACCCAGAGCAGCAAAGACTAAAAGAAATCGACGAGTTCCTGCTCCCCCTCACCAGGTCCCTGTCTGAGCAACAAAAAAAACTGCTAGAAAAGCAACTCACAAGAGAGGAGATATGGTTAGCACTGAAGCTCATGGAAAAGGAAAAGACCCCCAGGATAGATGGCCTGCCAAAGGAATTCTGGGAAGAAATGTGGGAGGACATATCACAAGATCTGATGAGGTACTACAATGCAATGTGGGAGGAAGGCAGGACAGGAGAATTCGTTGGCCAAGGGGTTTTAACACTCATACACAAAAAAGGAGCAAAGACGAACATAAGAAACTACAGACCAATTACACTCCTCACAGTAGTCTATAAGTTGGTGGCCAAAGCACTGACGAGCCGCCTGACCAAAGTAATGGAAGATATCATACATCCCAACCAGACAGGATTCATCGAAACCAGGAACATCCAGGACAATATCTTACTAGTCAACGAAGTGATCAAGCTAACAAGGCAATCTAAACAAAACGCGACAATCATCTTCATTGACTTTGAAAAGGCTTACGATCATGTGGACTGGATATTCTTGGACAAATGCCTGGAAAAATTTAATTTTGGCCCCAATTTTAGACGGTGGGTGCAGATCCTCCACAAGAACGCAACAACAAGGGTCATGGTTAATGGCAACCTGGCACCACCTATCACCCTACAAAGGTCCGTCAGACAGGGGGATCCCTTAGCCCCTTACCTCTTTGTGATAATTATGGAAGCTCTAGCAACAAATCTAAGAACCCACATAGATATCCATAGAATACAACTATCCTCAATCCCCAAAGAGGCCATCCCGGTATGCTCCATGTTTGCGGACGATCTAACCCTCATGGTGGATGCAACCCGAGAGTCGATGGAAGGAGTCCAACAGATGATGGACCGTTTTTGTGCCTTATCGGACATGAGAGTTAACTGGGGGAATAAGACCCTAGGCTGGTGGATCCACCATCAGGCAGTAAGACCCCCCGAACAACCTAGGGTTAGATGGTTACCGCAAGAAGCCCCGATTAGGGTCTTGGGAGTCTCGTTGACAGCCTTCGGCAGACCACCAACCAATAACGAATGGATAACCAAGCCCCCCTTAGAGAAGCTAGCCCAATGGAAAGATAAATGCACCTCACTGATGGGCAGGGCCTTGGTTATTAACAACGTGGTGTTAGCCTCTCTTTGGTACAAATCGGCCATTTGGGGGCTAGACAAACCCTCCCTAAAAGCCCTGCAGCGACAGTTGGTTGCCTTTTTGTGGCGAGGGAACCACGAAAAACACCATGTTATCAGCAGAGTAGCATGGCTAGCGATTATCCAACCCAAAGTTAAAGGGGGCTTGGGTATCATTGATCCGACAATACAGGTCAAGGCTCTGGCCATACAATGGCTTAAGCGCCTGCTCTTCTGCCCGAATATCCCATGGAGAGACTTGGCACTAGAGCAGATCTCGAGATTAGCTCCGGAAACACCAGGCCACATCAACCCGCTCACATGGATTGAAAACAGAGAATGGCCAATCCCACGGCGACGAACACAGCGAGAAAATGCCGACGAGGCCAATGCACCAAGACGTGAGTCAAGAAATGACCTACATAACGACCCTTTTTGGCCAAACTTGCTGAGGATATGGAGAAACCTCCCCCTGCCAGACAAAACCCACCCAGAAAGATGGGAGGAGGTGGCCCGACAACCATTATTTGGGAATACAAGGATAACCAACACAAGAGGCCAGGTCCTGCATTGCACGAACTCCCCATGGAAAGGATGGGTGAAAAAAGGGGTCCTTAGAATTAGGGATATCTGGGATGTGGAGAATAGGGACTGGATAGCAAGCAACCAACTAAAGGGAAAGCTGAGGTATTGCCACAAACCGGGGGAGGCCCTGGAAAGCTTGATAGAATGCATCCCCCTGCACTGGTGGAAAATCCTGAGAAAGGGACCCTCAATACGGGAGCTGGACTGGGTACTATTTCGGGGTCGTGAGGGAGTAGTGGGCAATGTGGTGCGCAGAGACCCGACAGGCTTGGTGGCCGTAGACATCTACACAATCTGTAATGACAACTCACTCCAAAAAGTTAACCCCGAACAGATAACTAAGACGCTATCTGATATCACAGTCAAAGCCACCTACAGAATGCTCCGACCGAAAACTAACCTGCGAGACCGGGTAGAAGCGCGATGGATGAATCACTTGAACATTAGCAAAGAAGCGCTGCGAAAAGTTAAATGGTTTCACTTCAGCAAATCCAAACCTGCAA